CAAAATTTGAACAATATTTTCAAATGTTATAAGCGTTTTTTCAAAAAACAATGATATATCTGGAACACTAGGTGGCGCTGTGATCAAACTTCTCATGTCGCTTTAGGACATGGTGTCGGTCATCCCTACCAAATTGTGTGCTGATATGTCAAATAGTTTAAAAGATATTGCAATTTATGACAAAATTCAAAATGGCGGACACGTGGTACATCCCATCATGGCAAAATCGATATCCACGGATTCGGCATGATGCAAGGAATCCATAGATACCACAATTATGATTTTCTGACAAACTGTTCAAAAGTTATTGGCCAAAATAGCAATTTGTCATATCTCATGACCCGTAGGTGGCGCTATTCCCAACTTTGGCATGGGACCTCAGAACATGCTTCCGATGAAGTGTACCAATTTTCGTTTCGATTGATCAAACTTTGGCCGAGATACAGCCTCTTAGCCTATTTTGGGTGGACCTCGTTAAGTTTGCGACATTATAACTTTTTTTTTCCAGTATAACAAAAAAATCGGGAACAGTACTTTTATGCGGCTCAGTCTGAAGATCATTTGAGTGCATGTTTGGAGAAAATTGGACAAAATTTGAAGGAGGAGTAGCGAAAAAACTGAATACTGTACATTTCAAAATGGCCACTACTGTAATGGGCGGGGTCTTAATGTAAGGTATTGGTTGTGATCAGCATGATGAGTGGAATCAGGTGTACTAAGTTTCATGTCTCTAGATCAAAGGGTTCAAAAGTTATAACCATTTCAATGTTGAATTTTTGAACTGGTGGTGGCGCTATAGAGTTGGTCCTAGAGGGTCAAAAATTGGTCCAATTACTATTCATTAGCATCACTACAAGTGTGCCAAATTTCATCATTTTCCTACTTACGGTTCATAGGGCTGCCATAGACTCCCATTCACGGAATAATAATAATAATAATAATAATAAGAAAACCAACAGATACAATAGGTGCCTCTGCACCTTCGGTGCTTGGCCCCTAATAAGAAAACCAACAGATACAATAGGTGCCTCTGCACCTTCGGTGCTTGGCCCCTAATAATAATAAGAAAACCAACAGATACAATAGGTGCCTCTGCACCTTCGGTGCTTGGCCCCTAATTAAAGCTGCAAGCAGCCTTACGGGGCCAAGCCTTCAATGGTTCCATGGGTTCAAAAGGTACTTAAAAATACTTTGCTTTCAAAACTTTAAAAGAAACTTTAATAACCAAAGTGTTCTTACTCATTAACTTCTTACCTCACAAAAGAAATGAGATCATCCAGCTGCCGAGGTTCAGTAGTAAAAAAGAGAATGCGAGCATTTAAGCACCAACAGCAGAGCAGATTCAGAAGGAATTGAAATGACAACTTTATACACAATTTTAAAGTCGTCCCACATGGGACTCGAACCCACGACCAGAATGTTCGGGATTCGAGATGCATGGTTTAGCTGATTGCGCCACTCAGAGGACGTGAATTTCAAAACAGCAGAGGAGAGGGTTCAGTGTGAGAATGAGTTCACAAAAAAGTTCCATGACATGTTAACCAGATTAGCATGCTAAGCTAGCTTAATGCTAATTTAGCTTTATGACGTGGTACATCCAATCCTGGCAAAATAGATATCATCGGATTCGACATGATGCAAGGAATCGATAGACACCAATTTTATGATTTTGTGACAAACTGTTCACAAGTTACAGCCTCTGAACCAATGTTGGGTCGACCTTGTTAAATTTGCGACATCATAACTTTTTTTTTTCCAGTATAGCAAAAAAATCGGGAACAGTACTTCTGTGCGGCTCGGTCCGAAGATCATTTGAGCAAATTTTGGACAATTTTGGACAAATTTTGAAGGAGAAGTAGCGAAAAAACTGTTTTACATTTGCTCCAATATGGCGGCCAGTCACATTGTTGGAAAATAGCATATGAGATATCGTTGAAATCGGCATAAGCCAAGGAATATATTGACATAAAGAAATCAAATTTCAAGCAATGATAGCAAAAGTTATAAGCGTTTTTTCAAAAAACAATGATATCTCTGGAACACTAGGTGGCGCTGTGATCAAACTTCTCAGGTACCTCCGGGCCATGCTAATGGTGATCCATACCAAATTTGGTGAAGAAATTTCAAATAGTTTAAAAGATATTGCAAATTATGACAAAATTCAAAATGGCGGACACGGGGTACATCCCATCATGGCAAAATCGATATCCACGGATTCGGCATGATGCAAGGAATCCATAGATACCACAATTATGATTTTCTGACAAAGTGTTCAAAAGTTATTGGCCAAAATAGCATTTTTCCATATCTCATGACCCGTAGGTGGCGCTGTTCCTGACTTTGGCACGGTCCCTCAGATCATGCTTCCGATTAAGCGTACCAATTTTCGTATCGATTGATCAAACTTTGGCCGAGATACAGCCTCTTAGCCAATTTTGGGTGGACCTCGTTAAGTTTGCGACAGTACAACTTTTTTTTTCCAGTATAACAAAAAAATCGGGAACAGTACTTTTATGCGGCTCAGTCCGAAGATCATTTGAGCACATGGTTGGAGAAAATTGGACAAAATTTGAAGGAGGAGTAGCGAAATAACTGAATACTGTACATTTCAAAATGGCCACTACTGTAATGGGCGGGGTCTTAATGTAAGGTATTGGTTGTGATCAGCATGATGAGTGGAATCAGGTGTACTAAGTTTCATGTCTCTAGATCAAAGGGTTCAAAAGTTATAACCATTTCAATGTTTAATTTTTGAACTGGTGGTGGCGCTATAGAGTTGGTCCTAGAGGGTCAAAAATTGGTCCAATTACTATTCATTAGCATCACTACAAGTGTGCCAAATTTCATCATTTTCCTACTTACGGTTCATAGGGCTGCCATAGACTCCCATTCACGGAATAATAATAATAAGAAAACCAACAGATACAATAGGTGCCTCTGCACCTTCGGTGCTTGGCCCCTAAAAATAATAGTCTTCTGCTTTTACTCATCCGGGGGTAGACTTGAACACACATTTAGTGCATCAAGGTCAATGGAAGGCCACGGTGCAGCAGCCAGGGTTTCATGTGCCTTGCCTTTAGAAAACTTCCTGAACTAGAAAGCATGCTTTCAAATTTTTAGAGGCTTCTGGACAGGGTTCTAAATTAACTTTTTTGATCACCAGCCAATGTGGCTGGTAACTTTCTAAAGTTACCAGCCATTTAGAATTTGCACTAGCCAAATTTTTTCCGGTGAAAATAAGAGAAATTATGAGTGCCACTGAATGCATTTGATAATTTTATTAACATTGTTGGCATGAAAAACACATATAAAGTACAATACAAGACAGAAAGTGCAAACATTTCATTTCAAGTTTGGGATCTATCTCTATTAGGGCTGTGCACGAATATTCAAATTTTTGCTCTGTAATTATTATTAAAAAAATAAAATACTAATACTTTTTTTCTTCAATTTTTTTCGCAGTTATAATTAAATGCACTGGGTGGAGCATTTAACAAGTGGATTGTGTTTTTGATCACATAATGTCGTTGTCTGCCTCGCGAAGTTTGGAATTACTTAGATGAAAATGATAGCCTATTACAAAATGGACTTACGTTTAATCAATTATTAATTATTATCATAATATCACCACCACAATGAGAAATCACATGAAATCCAAAGAAACAGCAGTCGACTGAGGAAGCAGCTGTCCATCACTGCATTAACTACTGCAGGTCAGCAGCTGTACCCCGATATCTTCTGGTAGCAAAATGATTTTGACATATGCTTCCTTTAAGTTTCGTTGAGGGAGACAGGTTTAAGAACAGAAAACGCAAAGTGCTGTTACTTCACTTTGCACACACACACGCGCGCGTCTCTGCAACGCCTGTGTGTCAGCGCAGCGCGTTTTCTCACTCGAGCATGTGGATATTATTGTTTTTCTCAACATGAACGTGAAACAATATAAACACGATAATCATATGCTGACTCGAGTATGCTGACTATGTTCTGTACGATAACTGCGCAGTCTGCTTCTTTTTTTCTTTTTCTTTTTTGCGTTTTTTCCCCGTTTGCGCTGCCTGAGCTTAAATGCTTTTGTTGTTTATATATTTTGTTTACACATATTGTTTAATGTTTTCAACTAAAAGAAAACCTTAAGATATATAGTAAGCTTGTTGTGTATAGGCTATTGCCTAATGTATAAGCTTGTAAGAAATAATGACAAAAACCTTAAACTTAATAAAAATAACGTAGACTATCTCTCGTTAAACGACATTTAAAATTAAACCCAGAAGTCTGTCCCAACCACCGCCGCATTTAGTTTAATCTTAACTTTTTACTTTAGCCACTTTACTAGCTCCCTCCTCTTTCAGTCTGCTCCCTGCTCTGGCTCGTTCTTCATCTTCCTTGTGTTTTCTGGTGGACGGACGCTCCGTTTGTTTCCATGATCATTTCTCGCGCTGGTTTCACTGCAAACTGCGCGCAGCCAATGGGCGTATGAAACGTCATCACGTAGCATTACGGCACAGTGTTTATGGGAAATGTAGGAAGTACTGCCAGGGGGATAAATGACCGAGAACAGAACCTTATGCATCACCGGCCAAACTGGCTAGTAAGTTTTTATTAACACCCGCCAAAATGAATTTTAACCCGCATTTGGCGGGTGTTAATTTAGAACCCTGCTTCTGGACCATCTTGACCTATGGTCCTGGTAAGCCTGTTCATTTATCCACCCCTGCCTACCTCAGCTACCCTTTATACAGAAAATGTATGGTTTAGCTGGTGGAATCAACGGTTCCTTAATGGTGTCAATTAATATGAATGAAAACATGTCCCACCTTCCTACATACTTTGTGCATCACATTAAAATATTTAATTTGATGCATTGAAGACTTCAGATGATTGGCTAACCCACAAGGTGAATGGAAAGACAAACAGAAATAAAGGTATACTTAGATTTATTTGAACACAGCTTTTAACAAAAATCAATAATTACAAAATAAATAAAAAAACAGCATGACAGCATTTTAGGGTGGAAACCATTGAAAGTGTGTAACGCGGCTCCTCCTCATCTTAAGTAGTCACATCCGCAAGCAGGATGGCTGTGCCCGTAACGGCAAACTTGACATCTCATAGCAGGTATTTAACTCATTGAATTACAGACCAATGTGTGACATATTACACATGGTTGGCACCTGGTGAGAACTGGCAGGCCGGCTCCCAAGTCTCCTCCCAGATTTTTCCACTGTAAGTATCAGTAAAAAATAATAACATTAGAACAGTGAAAAACAGGAGCCATTTTAACAATAGTTTCACAGCATAAATATTTTCAAAAAATATTGTACGGTTTTGTATTTCATTGTTTTTATAAAACCTATACACATATATAGTGCTTGATGAAATGTAACAGATAAACATCAGCCACTCTCATAGATAAAGTCATAGAAAGTCAATAGCTGATTTCAGTCAACAAGGATGATCTTGGCCGATACTGATGTTCTGCTAATATATTGGTGAATGTCTACTTCCTACAGAAACATTACACAGGGGGAATTAGGCATAGTACTGAAAAGAGCAAGTGGCTAAATCCTGTAGACAATATTTGACACTGCATTTAATCCACCCTATACCAACAGTGTAACCAACAGTGCAATTAATATACAGGTGGGTCTACAATTACAAGATTGTGCAATTTTTCAAGCAATTTTTGTTGATTTAATCTTGATTACAGTTAATGAAAACCAAAAAAAAAAAAAATCAATCAACTCACTATATTATAATAAAGAGGAATACAGAAATGTCGACCTTTTGAAAATAAATGAACAAATCTGACTTGTCAAAATTTGTTAATGCATATGTCACCGGGGTTAAGGCCAAGGGTTTATTTCACCACACTCTGGAGAAGCAGACACCATAGGACACCAAGAGGCAGACAACCACAGTGACTTTAAAAGGTAAGTTTTTATTCAGTTTAAACAGGGTAAAAGCAGGGACAGGGACGTTCATGGCTCTTTGCGTCGTCAGACTCGTCGAATAGGCTCGTGGGATAGACAGTGACTCCTCTCGTCGTCAGACTCGTCGAATAGGCTCGTGGGATAGACAGTGACTCCTCTCGTCGTCAGGCTCGTCGAATAGGCTCGTGGGACAGACAGTGACTTAAAAGCTCACTTCACCAGCGTTGCTGCATACTTCCAGACTCGGACGGTAAGTAGGACAGGTAAGGATTCTTCACAGTACAAAGTATTTTCGTCGGTGCACAGTAATGAGACAGTGGTCTAAAAGCTTACTTCACCAGCGATGCTGCATACTTCCAAACTCAGACAGAGAGTAGAAAGGTAAGGATTCTTCACAGTACAAAGTACTCTTCGGTTCACAGTAGTGAGACAGTGGTTGACAAGCTTACTTCACCAGCAATGCTGCATACTTCCAAACTCAGACAGTGAGTAGAAAGGTAAGGATTCTTCACAGTACAAAATAGTCTCCAGCTCAGCTGTATCACTCTGGCTTCTGAGGGAGAGCAGATAATAACAACTTTCCACAAACGTGTACGCATGGGTTGGGACCACTTCTCAGCAAAAGCACACCACACTCGTGTTCACTTCAATTCCACAGCCATGAATCAATGTGTATCAATAAGGCAAAAGCACTGCAATTCACTCACACGATAGGGCTGATCAGAGGCCTACGATCCGTTTGTTACACTCACGTGGGGGAGATTCAACCTTCAGTTCCTCCTCGACACACTCTGCAACACACACTTCTCTAATAGTCAGGTTCACACTCACTGCATCCTCTTCAGGCTGTTTGAATGTTCGTAAGATGAAATCAATGCACTTATCTCTCTCTTCGCCGTGCAGGTCGAATCGATAACTCGGTCCGGCAGATTTCCTACAGACGATCACTCTGATCCAGCAGACTTCAATGGGCGGCGGCCGCATCCCGACAACTTTCCTGAACAAGCTGGTACCCGAAACCACTCTTCACTGCGCTGGAACAACCACTCGAACTCTGAGACAACCACTTCTCCGTGAGACAACCACTTCTCCGTGAGACAACCACTTCTCCGTGAGACAACCACTTCTCCGTGAGACAACCACTTCTCCGTGAGACAACCACTTCTCCGTGAGACAACCACTTCTCCGTGAGACAACCACTTCTCCGTGAGACAACCACTTCTCCGTGAGACAACCACTTCTCCGTGAGACAACCACTTCTCCGTGAGACAACCACTTCTCCGTGAGACAACCACTTCTCTGTGAGACAACCACTTCTCTGTGAGACAACCACTTCTCCGTGAGACAACCACTTTTCTGGGACAACCAGCTTTGAACACTTCAACCAGCTTTTTCTCTCCTCTCTTGACCACTTCAAGCCCTTCTCTTTATACTCCTTTTTCCCGGGCAGGTGGTTCAATGAAGCATTTCTCATGGGCTTCAGCTGGCGCTCATCATGGTCGGCGGCCATGATGTGTATACCCAGCGCCAGCCCGGTGTTACACCGGCATTTCTTCCCCCTGGAATGTGAATGTGGAATGTCAATGATTTTTGGTTCCTGGTTTGTTCACCCGGTGACACATACACTCTATACTTGGTCTGGCTGCTTTTGCACAAATTACTGCATCAGTGTGGTGTGGTGTGGAGGCCATCAATGTATGGCATTGCTGAGGTGTTATAAAAGCCCATGTTGCTTTGATAGTGACCTTGAAGTTGTCTGTAATGTTGGGTTTGGTTTCTATCATTGTCCTCTCTATGGGGTTCAGGTGAGACGAGTTAAGCACAGGAATACCATGCTAAGCAACACAGTTACTAGCAGTTTTGGCACTGTGGCAGGGGCAGAGTCCTGCTGGAAAAGGATATCAGCATGTACATAAAGCTCGTCAGCAGATGGAACCATGCTCGAAAATCTCCAGGCAGAAGGCTGCATTGACGCTGGACCTAAAACCTAGTGGACATGACAATTCTCTCAACGCTGCTTTTTGGATGCAAAACTTTGAGACCCACCTGTACATTTAAAGTTGTGTGTGCTACAATATAAATTTTCAACCTTTATCCACTACCTATGAGATGGTAAAAAGTGGAAACAGAGTACATGTATGAAGGCAATATAAAGCAGTACTTACCATGCAGAGCAAGGTAACCATCTCACCCTTACTTCCTCTTGCCCCTACAGAAAGACACAAACATATAATCAGGTTTTGAATTTCATAATTTTTGGGGCAAGGCCACTTGGCCTTCAGTTGAACTTAAATGGACTCAAATTACCAATGCTTAAATGGTCAGTATTTTATGATATGTGAAATACCAGATGAGCCACAGACAATGGAGAGATGATCAGACAGCCTAATGAAAAATATATTTCTTACCTCATTTATCCTTCGTCCTGTTATGGAGTCATATTTGAAAACTTTTTGCCTACTACATTTCCGGCAACCTTAAAATAACACAAATAATAATAATAATATTAATTAACCATAAATGTAAAAAAAAAATCTTGAAATTAAACTTATAGTTGTTCTCCAGGTTTTTTGAAACTTGAAGTTTAACTTTAAGCATTGTCCTTGAACTTTGAAAACGTCAGAAAATACAGCTAAATAACTAAAGAATACATATATAAAGGGCCATTCACACCAAAAACGATAACTATATAAAAAAAATATTGTTCTCGTTAATATGATAAACTATAACGACATTGAGAACAATATCGTTGGGGATCGCTTTTAAAGTGATTTTGAGAACAATAAAAAGAAAAAGCCAACAACCAATAAGAACCTATCACATCTTAGCCATCACATTTATTAACACAAGGTGAGACTTTGCTTATAGTTGGTCAGTCTGTCTGGACGCTTTTATCGTTATAGTTATAGTTCCTGGAATGAACTGCTCTTTAGCAATCAGATTCAGTGATTTCATAACCGAAATTTAGCCTAATTATCCTACTGCCTAGCCTAAAGGTTATTGAAGCAGATTGTGAACAGTGAAAGGGGGGGATAAGCTACCTGGGCTGCCCACTGATGTGTGTGTGTGTGTGTGTGTGTGTGTGTGTTCTCTCCTCAAGTGTGTATTGCTCATTTCTTTACTCCTAGAGTGTGCGTGTTCAGTACTGAAAGGTATGCATGCGAGGACAAACTCCTTTGTGTATCAGACTGGCCTCTTAAAATTACTCACTATTAACTACGGTAATTGACTGCACTTAAATTCACCTAAAGATTTCTGTATTTCATGAATAATGATTACAAAAAGGAGAAATTCATACATAGTGGGCTAAGACCACAGTTAACTTACACTTTCTTTTTTTTTGGGGGGGGGGGGGGGGTTGTGGAGGAGGTCTCTTCACAGGGAGAGTGACAGGTGTAAATATAAAATGTCTACTTTTCTTGGGCCTGGGCCTGAGGGTGTGGGTCTGGCTGGGCCTGAGGGTGTGGGTCGGGCAATGTCGTCGTGGAGTTCCCTACAATATTGCATGTGTATGTTAATTTTCAATATTTCACCATCATAAAAAAAATAGGCAAGACTTAAATTACACAAATCCTACCTTCTTTGATCAATACAAAATTGTAGGCCTTTCTCATGGTGGCCACAATTTTTAGGTTGTCCTCAGTGAGTAGCAGATGGGTCACCACATCAGACACCCACTTTCCAGAGGCCTTATCTTTCTTTGCGAAAAATAGAATTGGGACATAGCCCAATGCACTTAGTTTTTTCACCTGTAATAAATAAAAATAGACAGCAAACTAGTTATTCCCACTGCATTACTTTCCACCCTATTGGAAAAAAAATTGCATTAAATACATTAGTGCTACTGTTTCTAATATACAGGTTAGGTACACAACTTATAATGACCAACCTTAACAGCTTTTCCCCTTAGAAACAACATTACATGATGTTTTATTAACAAAGTTCGGGAGGAGCACGTTCAGATAATTAAACCTAATTAAACACATGTGGAGCACATGTAGATAATCAAACCTAATTAGACACGAGTGGAGCAAACTCTGCTAATCAATCCAATCAACGAGTTAAGAGGTGTATATACACTCCTAAACAAAATCTTAAGACCGGGGGAAACATTGCAAGCATTCGCATTTCGCGCTGGTGGATCATAACTGGGTTGTAAGTACTGCTTCAAAATGCCAAAAGAACAAACAGGAGCAAGAGACAAAAAATAGAGAGTTGGCAATTTATTGAAAAGTGCATTTAAACTTAAACGGGCTGTTCATCAGCTGATCAAAAGTTTAAGACCATAGCCCAAAAATAAACCTACAACAGAACTAAAAGTGTCAAAAAAGGACTCAGTAGTGAGTAGCCCCACCGTTCTTATTGATCACTTCAAAAACTTGTTTCAGCATGCTTGATGCGACTGTTCCCAGGAGGCTGCTGGGAACGTTGCTCCATGTGGTGAAGATGGCTTCACGAAGGGCATCCACGGTCTGGAACTGACGTCCATTTTTGGAAACTTCCCTTGCCATCCATCCCCAAATGTTCTCAATGGGATTTAGATCAGGAGAACACGCAGGATGGTCCAAAAGAGCAACGTTATTCTCCTGGAGGAAGTCCTTCGTCAGGCGGGCGTTGTGAATTGCAGCGTTGTCCTGTTGAAAGACCCAGTCATTACCGCACAGACGGGGGCCCTCAGTCAAGAGGGATGCCCGCTGCAACATGTCCACATAGCCAGCCGCCATTTGACGCCCCTGGACAACCTGAAGCTCCATTTTCCCATTGAAGGAAAAAGCACCCCAAATCATGATGGAGCCTTCTCCACTGTGCCGCGTAGAAAACATCTCCGGTGGGATCTCCTTGTCATGCCAGTAACGTTGGAAGCCATCAGGACCGTCCAGGTTAAATTTTTTCTCGTCAGAGAATAAAACTTTCTTCCACCTTTCAATGTCCCATGTTTGGTGTTCCCTTGCAAATTCCAAACGGGCAAGTTTGTGGCGTGGGAGGAGACGTGGCCTTTGAAGACATTTTTTTGTTCTTGAAGCCCTTCTCTCGCAGATGACGTCTTATGGTTATTGGGCTACAATCAGCATCAGTAAGTGCCTTAATTTGGGTCGAGGATCGACCTGTGTCTTCACGGACAACCCGTCGGATCCTGCGGCTCAGTGAGTGCTTTTTTGGGTCTACCACTTGACTTTTTTTGTCCCATAATTCTCAGGATCTTTTAAGAAATGTAAAATGACTGTCTTACTGCGTCCAACCTTGGCAGCAATGGCGCGTTGCGAGAGGCCTTGCTTGTGCAGCTCAACAATCCTGCCACGTTCAAAGAGAGAAAGCCTTTTTGCCTTTGCCATCAGGAGATCATGACAGTGTGACTGCCTGAAGATCAATGACACGAAAGCCATATTTTTGTGCAGATTTTACCTTTTTATGCCTATGGTCTTAAACTTTTGATCAGCTGATGAACAGCCTGTTTAAGTTTAAATGCAGTTTTCAATAAATTGCCAACTCTCTATTTTTTTGTCTCTTGGTCCTGTTTCTTCTTTTGGCATTTTGAAGCAGTACTTACAACCCGGTTATGATCCACCAGCGCGAAATGCGAATACTTGCAATGTTTCCCCCGGTCTTAAGATTTTGTTCAAGAGTGTATAACAACAAGCTTACCTCTGTCCGTTGACAGTTTGACAGCATCCCTCCACCACCTCATCTCCTCACTTCTAGCCCTAAATACTTTTATAACAATGGGGGAAGTACTCTGGGTTCGGGCAAAAATCCTGAGCTCGGAGACCTCCCCCGGACCGCACGCCAAATACTCATAATCTTTACTCTGTTAAATTGATGTAAGTGTGAACTCCTGAAATATGTACTCCAGTGGTTCTCAAAGTGGATTTGCTTTGAATGAAAAAGTTGTGCTTAATCGTTAACCCCGGATTTCCACGAACTGAAGAACGGCTGCGGATCGGCTCCGCTGCGTGTCGGATCCGTGCTCCGCCGTCCTTCAATACCTACCAGATCCGGATTTGTTGCAGAACGGCTGCGGCCATGACTGACAGCTGAAGTCACGAGGACATACGATATCTCGCTAATTTAAGTTTGATCGCGCGATATAACAGGATTTAGTTTCTATAAACAGAACCACAAAACCAGCAACAGTTTGTTTCCATCCAGAGGTGTACAGGGGAAACAACTCTGTGCTGACCTGCTGATCTCCTTTTTTTGTGGAGATTATTGTGATTCTAGTACAATATAATTATATAATCGACTTATAAAATGCTAAATGTTTATTTTGGGTTCCTTTTTGAATGAATTGGGAAAGTAGTAGGCTGTGTAAATAAAGTTAACTATTGTTCTTGTTGGAAAAGTATATTTTTATTTTGAAAATTACCGGATGTTTTATTTTGTTTCTGTGCTCGATTTCCTGCGGGGCTCTCCGGCATCCGGCAGAAATAGAAACTCTGCGTATCTTCTCCGGAGGGCTGCGGTCGTTGGAGCTGGGACGGAGTCGGAACGCAGCCGTTCCGCAGTCAGTGAAAATACACACATTGACTTGAATGGAAACCTATTGACTCCGCCGCCGTTCCGGAGCGGATCCGCAGCCGTTCCGCAGTTGGTGGAAATTGGGGGTCAGAAATGCTTATCAATGACGATGTAATGATCTAAAATCTACATATAAAATCTTGATTATAAATGCACTGATAAATTAAAACATTAACATTGAACTTTTTTGTGATTATGATTAATCAAGTCAATCTGTTGTGAATCACTTGAATCACTTCACTCAGGTCATGATGAACCATTCTTCCTGCTGCTTAGCTTGGCTTATTTGCCATTAAGATAGCTGATGAACATGGATAAATGTTTGAGTCAGTCCACATCATTTCTACCCCTTTTCCACCAACAAGAACCGGGTGCTGGTTCAGAGCCAGAGCCAGAGCTGGTTCGGAGTTGGTTCGACTGACAAGCTTACTAAGAACCGGTTTGCCTTTCCACCGGCTAGAGAGCCACAACAGAGCCAGATCTTACGTCACTGCATTCGTGTCATGTTGCCCAGCAACGCTTGTGCGGTAGCGCCAAACACAAAATCGCCAGGCTTGTTCGAGATGCATCGGCTTCTCGCAGATCGATCGCCACATGACATCAAAGCACTGCGAAAGCGATCCAAAAGCACAAGGAGTCGTATGATCTCCAAACACTCCCGCAGCTCCGATCGGTCCGCGCCGCTCCGATGCATCTCGAACAAGCCATCAACAATAACGGACGTTGCGTTACTATGGATGCTCATGGGTTTAGAAAAATACATCGGAATCCAACGCGTTTGTGCAGCTCGCCGTAACTTACATAGACGGATATTATAATCAAGCTGCTATTAGCTCGACTAGCTGCTATTTAAAAATGGCGGTCACAAGTTTCTATTCGTCTTGTTGGTCACGGTAACCCCGCCCCCAGCCACTCTTACTTGGCTCACTTCTAGACCAGCAATGATTTGGTGCTACTTAAGAACCACTTTTCCTGGTTCGGAGCTGGTGCTTTGCGTGTGGAAAAACAAAGAACCGAATTGAAACTAGGCTCTGGCTCCGAACCAGCACCAGCTCTGCCTTGGTGGAAAAGGGGTATAAGTGATTCAAAATCTAAAGTTGACTAAAGACCAAGTTAGTACACACCAGCTAGAAAACACGGAATAGTGAACCCGGAAACAACTTAAGAGAATAAAAATGGCATCAAAGTATACAAATGGTAGCGAATGTAGCGGGACTCGACTACGCCACCCTGTTTATCAGGGAAATATTAATCCTAAAGATTTAATGTTTTACACAAAAGACACACAGGAACGGGATTGTCAAAGGAGGCCAGAGACGTGGATACTAAATATACAAAAGTTTTATTTTAATACTCACAACCATTTAAAACAAGGACATTAAGAAAGAACTGGTTCATCAGCATTCACCACAACAGAGACCAAGAGATAAAGGAGGCCGAGGCTTAACGGCAGATACACAAATCTCAGTGCGCACAAAGCTTCTATATCACTCTCAACCCCCCGTGCACAAGCATCAACACACACTGCAATCCAATCCAGCACAGCACTCTGTGACGAGCCCACCACCGCACGTAAGGCCTACTAGTGGCCTACCCTGAAGCCTCGGCTCCTGTAACGAGAGTAAAAATTACTACGGGTCTCAACTCACAAGACACTTATTTCAAACATGCACACATAATAAACATTTAGACAAGTAAACAAAAAAAACATATTACAAAAAAAATGAAAATCAAGGTTTGATGTCACCACTGGGTTTCTATTAACCTCCCCGACCTTCTACCAGCACATTTGAGGGAAATCAGACCGCAAAACACAACACAATTCTGCAAAAACACTGACAAAGCAAAACAATCAGAACACTCCAAATGCAAAATGAAACCAATGACAAATAAAGATACACAAAAAAATAAAGATAACAAACAAACACACAACTTGAAAGACTAGTTAGTAAAAAAACGCCCAGCAATCACAGTGACACGCACTGAAAGACAAGCGTCCCACAAAACACGTAGGCTGTGCACACACGCGTTGGGAAGAGTTATTATTGTAAATAATCTGAAGGTACAAGCAGCAGCGTCACACAGCGTTGCCCACCAGGCGCGCAGAACATCTATTACTCCTAAAATACAAACATAAACGTATTTGCAATATATAACAGAATGGGCGCTGCACAAAATGGATGTTTCACGTACCTTTAATTCAGAAACTGACGCCCATCCACGCCACACCGAACAAGCACGGGAATGCGAGAGGAACATGCAAAGGG